AAGAGGAAGGAAGGAGAGGAGGGAGGGAGGGGGAGGGAAGGGTACAGGAAGAAAGAGGAAGGAAGGAAAAGAGGAAGGAAGGAGAGGAGGGAGGGAGGGGGAGGGAAGGGTACAGGAAGGAAGGAAGGAAGGAAGGAAAAGAAAGAGGAAGGAAGGAAAAGAGGAAGGAAGGAAAGGAGGGAGGGAGGGGGAGGGAAGGGTACAGGAAGGGAGGGTGAGAGGGAGGAAAAGAAAGGAGGGAGGGAGGAGGAGGAGGAGGAGGGGAAGGAGAGGGGAGAGGAAGGGAGGGGTACAGGAAGGAACGAAGGACAGAAAGAGAAGGAAAGGGAGGAAGGAGAGGAAGGAAGGAAGGCCACAAAGAGAAGCCCATCAGCAAATTGATGGATTGAGCCCAGCTGGTGCTCCATGGGCGCTCTGGCGTGGGAATGCGCTTGCCTCACCCAGCCAGGACACCGGAGAGCGCATCCAGCTGAAACAGCCTCCCTTACGGACCTTCCCTTCTTCATCCAGCTGGGATGTTCAGAAACAGCGGGAGGGAAGACCTTGGGTGGAATTGCCGTGGTTCAGGCGACCGTCTCCCCTCCCCTCCCCTACGAACTCGTTCCGTAGCGTCTGATTCTACTTTCCAGTCGGAACTGGGTCGCCTTTCCCTGTTTCTCTGCCGCAGGGCTGTGCGTGGCGGGAGCTGTGTCGTGGTACGCGTCACGGGTCACCTACGAATTTTTCAACCCCAGCACCCCTCTGAATGCCAAGTGAGTATCGATCGCCTCGTGGGAATCAATCTGGGTGGGATTTGCTGCAGCTCCCACTTTGGGAATTCAGTCCCCCCGCCTTTTAAAAAACTACCACCCAGCAAAACTTATTCCCCCCCCTCTCAAAAACTCTAAACTATGGTTTCTGGAAGGCGTCTAGTCTAACACATCTGAAGGATGGCAGGGAATGAAGGCTGATCTGAAAGAGTCAGCCCAGATGCAGCAGGTAGATTTGTAGTTTTGATGAGCAGAGTGGAGCTTCCATCTTCAGGAGCATGCTACCTCTGAAAATGTTGCCGATGGGAAGCAACGTTTGTATGACTCTGATAGCCTGCTAATCAGCAGAAGGCAAAACAGACAGCCATGGGAATGGAATTAAGCACGATTTTTTTTTTAAAAAAAGACACCCACTATTTATTTTCTAGCATTTAACTGACTCACTGCAAGGCTTTTCAAAAATATACTTCTTTCACATTATCGCCAAGAAAATGACATGGCTGTGTAGCCCCCTGGAGTCCCCCCAAAGCCTCTTTAAGATCAGTGAGCCCTTAACTGACCTTGAACCATCTCAACATTGTAAGCTGAATCGGGCTTGGCTTGATGGGAGACCACAAGGAGATCCCAGGAAGGAAAACTGGAAAAAAAAAATCCAAAAATTTAACAGGCCTATTATCCCCCCCATTTCATTTCTGCTGAAGACCAGCAGACAGCCAGGTCTCTCAGAAGCCAAAAGAGCCGTCAAATTCAGAGTAAATTGCTAACCAACGTTGTTACGGTCATTGTTAGACATCCTCATCCATTGTTGCTAAAGAAGGTGGTTTCTTCCAGGTACGAATTTGGGCCTGCTCTGTTCGTCGGGTGGTCTGCTGCCAGTTTGCTGCTGCTGGGGGGGGGCTTCCTGTCCTGTTCCTGCCCCAAACCGGAAGAAAGGGGTCAACAATATTACCGCCAGTCGCAGCCTCCGACCGCGAGAGAGTACGTCTGAGCTCAGCGCTTGCATCTCTTCCTTGTGGCACGAGGGGACCTTCACGGAGGTCATGCACGCCTCAAGCTCATACTCCGTGCTCTGCCTCAAGCAGGGGTCAGACTAGATGCCCTCTGGGGACCTCCCAATTCCACAATCCTCAGGGTCGCCTTTTGTATCAGGGGAGCTTCCCAATTCATACCCCCTTTCCCCAGCTTTGCAAAAACTGCAGGGTGGGTACCCCCAAAATAGAATTGTCCCCCCACCCCAGCTTTCCCTGCATCGATAATTTGGCAACTAACAGCCCTCTTATTCTTTCTATTTTTCCTTTCTTCCCCCTTGCTTTTTCAGGCCCACTGTAAAAAGGGGGAATCAACACGCATAACACCTTCCGAGGTCTGGTGCTGGGAAGCCCAAACAGACTGTAGTAAGGACTTAAAAAAAAAAAAACAGTTTCCCAAGATTCAGGCTGTCTGTTTTGGGAAAGCGAAAGGAAGAGGAAGCCACCATTTTTGTAGAATAAACGGCTTTTAAACTTTTTTCCATGGTATTGCCTTTATGCCTTTGAGGAGATGGTTTTCACCTTTTTTTAAAAAAATAAATAAATTCTTGGATTCGATGGATTTGTATCAAACGGCATCTTCTTCAAATATTTCTATTCCCAACTCTTTGAAAGTTTACGGTATCTTTGGACTACCATTATAATGCTGAATTAAGCCAGTATTGACTACTGTGACTCGCAGCAACTCTCCATAGCAGGGGCTGTTCCAAGAAGCAGCTCTTAAGGCAGAAATTTGCCTTATAATAATTCAGACACTTGGTCCATTTAACCCAGTATTGTCAGCACTGACTGGCAGACGCTCTCAGGATTTCAGATGAGAGCCCCAGCTGAACCCAGAAGTGCTGAGATTTGAACCTGGAGCTTTCTGCCTTTCCCGTAAAGCATAGGAATGTAGGAAACCTCCTGAGATGAGATGAGTCCCTCTGCCCCAATACTGCCAGCACTGACTGGCAGCCCCTCTCCAAAGTTTCAGCTAAAAGTCTTCCATAGCCCTACCAAGAAGTGAAAAAAAATTGAACTGGGGACTTTACATGCAAAACAGAAGTTTTCCCACCAACTTGCAATAGCTTCTAATATTTTGGGAAGCTACTTGGCAACAATTCAGAAGCTTGGTCTACCTGAGCTAGGATTGCTAACACTGGTGGGCAGCCTCTCAACAAGATTTAGGGCAAAAGGCTTTCCTACCTGAAGAGGATGGGTTGGAACTGCAGGCTAGCTGACTAGGTTTGCGAGTCTGAAGCCACAGGAAATAAGAAGCTTTCTTGACAGCCTGGGAATGTGAAAAAGAGACAATTCCACCTGAATTACACTAGGTATAAATCGATCTGGAGAATTGCTTTGGCTGTTCTCCAGATCAACTTATACCTAGCGTAATGCAGGTGGAATTGCTCAGTCTGTTTCTCATATTTGCCCCCTCCCCAGACAAGGGAACCTTTGCCCTAACAGTTCTGCTCCCTCCTCCATATTCCCAAGGTCTGTTAGACATTCCTTCCTCCACACATAGAAAGTTGCTTTATTTTAATCCCCAAGCCTGGATCCATTTGTCTTTGACGAACCAAAGCAAGCAATGTTTTTCTGGCCCCACCCTAGGCTGTAATTCCATTGGCTGGGGGAAGTGACCTTGATGGAGGCCATTGGCTGAAGATAAAGCCAGTCAAACAGGCAATTAGAGCAGGCATGGGATGGAAGCATGTTTTTCCGCAATTTTCCAGTTTTTATTCTTGTTCTGGGGCCTTAGGGGGTATTGGAAAATAAATGCCATGTTTCATGCTTTCAGCTTCTTCTAAGGCTGAAAGGAGGCAACGCTTAGCTGATTTGGGCTGAGGTGGGAAAACCAGATGGGACCAGACCTGAGTTAATATTGGATGGGGCACCACCAGGAAATCCTGCAGCTGGAAACCAGCCTGAGAAGTTGAAAACAGCACCCAGAAGGGAAACTGGGGCAAAACACTGCACTCCATGGTGTCACTAGGAGTCCAAGGTGACTCAGATGTTTCCTTCAAGGCTTAAAACCTGAAAATCATTCTCAAATGACAAGAACCGTGCTGCCCGTTCTCAGGGAGGGAGGGGTGGCTGGATTTTCATGGCACTGTTAGAGGGGGCTAGGGAGACCTCGAAGACACCGGACCCACAGCTTGCATAGCCCCGATTAAAAGGTTGCAAATCAAAGAGGTGTAGAAGAAGTTCTAGCCAATCAGGGACCCAAATCTTGATCCCTTATGATCCAAGAAGTTGATCATCCCATTGCCTGCTTTCAGTGATGCCATTCAAAGAGGGGGCCAGGCAGTGCCAATTTGGGGAACGTGACATTGCCTCCGATTTCTATCCCACCCCATGTGTCTATAAAGCTGGCATCGAAGTTGGAACTGTCCTGGGGATCGTGAGTCAGGGTGTGGTCAAAAGAGTCAAAATGGCAGCTGCAAAAACCCCTCTGCTGTTGGACTCTTCAAACGTGGTTGTTCAACCCAACTTCTTTTTTTTTTAATTTTTGGGGAGATGGGGAGGGAACTGGGCCTTGCAGGAAACGCTCATTAATGTAATCTGTCTGCACAATTTGATGCCACGAAAAAAACAGCTGGAGTGGGAAGGGTTGCAATGTTCTCTTGTGGTTTTTGGCATCCAGCTGGGGCTTCACTTGGTTAATTGGGTCTTTCTCTCTAAAATAAAAATTTTCTGCAAGAGTGACACTCTACTTGTTGTTCCAACGCTGCAAAGTGCGATTGTGTTATTGTGCACTGCATGCAACCGCTTTGAGGTTTTTCATGGGAAGACGTATCAAAAGGTTTTCAATCAGGAAATGAATAACATTCAGAAATCCTTTCTGTCCTCTTGCAGGATATTTCTGAAGTGTTTAGGAGCTGATCTGCCCTTTTTTCTGATGGGAACTGTGACAATCCTGCTGCCACCCCCTGAGCCTGAACACAAAGTGTCCACCCTTTCCTGGCAATTGGGAGCATTTTTAAAAAATGATTTGCATGTGGGGAAACCGCCTCAGAGCCTTTCTTTTTCCAGAGCAAATGTCTAAATAGCCCTGTAGCGTGATGCAGCGGCAAATGAAGCTGATACCATTGGGGTGTTTTGAAAAAGACAGCATTTCCCATTGCATAATCCATTACTGTTGAACCGGTTTGGGAAACCGTATGAAATGTCCTCTTTTCCTGGAGACCTCTCTGGTCCTTAGTTGCCCAAGAAAGCTGTTTGGTGCAGAATTTACACTGAATCACCAGCAAACTAACCATTTTTCTTCCTGGCCCAGAAATTAGATTGTAAATGTTCCAATGGCTTGTACAGAATATTCAACAACATTCCAATTTCGAAAGCATGAGGGAGAGGCTGGACTAAAGTAAGATTCTACAAACCAGTTGAGATATTTGGAGGCAGAAAAGAAATCAAATTTTAGGACATTATTTGAAGGGGTTAAAGATCAAGATTGTAAAAAGGAAAAGGAAGGAATATAAAGTGGGTTTAATTGATCAAAGTTAAAATAGATATGTTGTTATCGCTAGTAACCCTTAATGGACTTTTGCTGATCAGGACTGAACGACAACATTTTAAGGATTTGTGTAAAGATAAAAATGGGATATGGGAAGAAGAGATCATTGGTTGCATTTTAAGAGAAGGTTACTAAATTGTTTAGACTTGTTACTAACTTGCTAACTAAATTTAGTTATTTAGTAACTAAATTGTTACTCACTTGTTACTAAGTTACTAAAGTTACTCAATTGTTTATACTTGTGATGAAATCAATTCTTTACATAGTTCTTTTCTTTTTCTTTATTATTTTCTCTTTCTTTTATCCTCCTCCTTTTTCTATTTTCCCTTTTCCCTTTTATTTTTTAATTTGTATTAGTTTTTATTTTTGCAATTGTCATTTTTAATAAAATGATTATATTAAAAAAAGAGAGATTTGCAGCCGGCAACGCATTCGCTCTTCAAACTCCTCCATTTCCCATAGAAGGTACCCCCCCATACACTTTTTCAGACAAATTAACTGGAATTATTTATTCTCGGAATAACCCGCACCCGTTTGACCCTTGAAAGAGTGATGGATGGAAAACTGGGCTGATGTTTCGTGCCAAGTTCCTGAAGTTGTCAATCTTGGTGCTTTCTGACCCATAAGCATTTTAATTGCAAGGAAGCCCATCATACGTTAAACCTCAAAGCCGAACCGACGTAAAAAGAAACATTTAACCCCGATTTGGATCATCTGAATCATGAGAGGGGGGAGTGTTAAATGCCACCTTTTCCTGGCCCAAATAATAAAATATTGGACTTGTTCCTCCAATGTTTGGCATTCCCTCCAGACAGCTTTTCGATTCCCCTTCGCAAACAGGAGCAGCTCCTTGATTCATCCATTGTCAAGGTAAATTTCTACTTCTGTTTTTCAGCATGAACGGGAGACAGATGGGGCCTCCCTCAGCAGAATACAGATTTTCGCACACACAAAGCTTTTTTCCAGCCAGCAATTGAGAGAGAGGGAGAGATGAGTGTGCAAAGGTGAAACACACTTGCTCTAGAAACATCAAGAAGCTGATTTGCGGAAAAAGTTGGGGGAAACTTCCTAAAACGTTTTGAGCTGTTCACCGGTGGAACTGACCGCCACAGGAAGCGAGAGCCTCTTCTTCCTATATAAGCCGGACTGAAATTCTTAGAGTTGAAGTCTAACGCAACTGCACAGCTCCAGTTTAAGAAAGAAATACACCAAATTCCGAAAATAAATTTCGAATTAAAACCACAAATATTTTTGTTAGGGAGGACACAAACGGAAGGCATCATGATTTATTAAGATCCGGTATCATCATAAATTAGGATTCGTTCAATTCGGATGCATCAGCGAGAATCAGGCTGGCACAGGGTTGGAAAAGAGAAATTTTGCCGTTAATACCGGACTGGAAAATTAAAATTGAAGACTATGCAGCCGTGGAAAAATTCACCACAAAAGTCTAAGCAAATGCAAGAAGAAATTGTTTGCTTATATGCAACATATCACCCAACAAGGCAAGCTAAAACACGTAGAATGTGGTTTTTTAAGAAAAAGAGAAACTGTTTCAATAATAATAGTAATAAACTGATCCAAACAGAAATTAGTAATAGTGTTCAAACTGAAGTATAAAAATATTCAAGTAGCAATTAGTGGCTGGGGGAAGATAAAAGGGGAAGGGGGGGAAGGAAGAGTGGGGGCTGCCAGAATGCCCTTTTTTATATTTTTTTATTTTATTTCTTGTTGGTTTTGGGTTTTTAATTTTTTTTCAAAATCCCTTAAGTATGTATATGTATCTTTTTCTTTTGTTTCCTTCCTTCCTTCCTTCCTTCCTTCCTTCCTTCCTTCCTTCCTTCCTTC